GGGACCTGTGGCAGACCACCTTGTCCAGAGCCCTGCTTGCCTCCAACGGGCCACATCACCCACTACAACAGCCCTTGGGGCCATGGACTGACCGTCTGGAGGACTGGAATTGGTTACTGTCACCCACTACAGGCCTTTTCCACCGCCATGGGGCAACCTGGAAACACTTTAGCTCTGAGGGCTCTCCCACCACGTCACGGTGCTACGCGCCAGGGCCGTCCCATCCTTCCTGCCCATGGTGGACTGCACTGCTTCCTTCTGACGCTCTTTGTGCTACGGTTCGCTCCATCACAGGATCTGATAGGGTTCTTCTCACCGGTACTGGCCGTGCCTCTGAACTGTCTTCTTCCTCCAGCCCATCTATCCTTCATGCGTGGCAGACGGCTGCCAAGCTCTGCACAGACTATTACGGGTGGGTCCCCGATGAGATCGAGGTTCACGGTGATGAAGCCACCTTAGCTGATGCTCTGTTGGACGGTCGCCTGCGTGTGATCAGCGATGGATCCTTCAAGAACAAGTTGGGGACCGCGGCGGTTCAACTCCTGGTGAAGCATGGAGGATGCCATCAAACCATCATCCGATGTCAGACTCCCGGTTTGCCCCAGGACCAGAGTCCATACCGCAGTGAACTCATTGGTCTGTTGGCCGGTATAATGGCGGTTGATTGGCTCCTTGAGCAATGGTTCCCAAAAAATTTGACTGGCCCCAAGGTGCGGATTGCTTGCAATGGCCTCTCTGCTATTGAGATGGCTTTCAAAGATCGTCCACTGTCTCCAACTGACGCCAAGTTTGACTTGGTGTCGTCCATTTGGGAAGCTATCCTTCGGTCCTTGGTGGATTGGGCGCCCCAGCACGTGTATGGACACCTCAACAAGTCCAATCTCTTTGACGAACTTTCTTGGTGGGAGAAACGGAACCTTGAGGTGGATGGAATGGCGGTGGAGTACCGTAAGGAACTTGAGACGGCCAATCATCTTATAGCCCCCAATGTTGGGATATGACGAAATATGAGTTTTTAAGTTCCGAAAAGAAACTATTCAAGTATGAAGTTTTCGACACGTACGATCGGACTTTGATCGTGATGTCGGGATCCGCCGCAAGTATGCCGGACGCAAGTCTGTCGGACAAACTACATCCACACAAAAAGGGAATGACCCTATACAAGTGAGATATCGATGTTGTGTACAATGCAGTAGGGAATAATACAATATGTCCCAAA